TCTTTGTGTAAACCCAGCCCCAAGATCTGAATATGGATTGGCTAAAGAGGGCCCACCACCACCCCTTTTACTGACCCTCCTATCTGGGGTCCTGGACTGTGCCATTACCAGTGATCCTGTGTGTTTGCCAGGATTTTTCAGAAATCTCATTTAAAAAATATATATATTTACCTTTATTTATTTATTTTTATTTAACCAGAGAGGGAGAGAGAGGGAGAGAGAGAAAGCCACCAGTTCTAGGACTCGAACCACGGTCGGCCATATGAGAGTCCAGCACTCTTAACCACCTGCCAGCCCCCAGAAATCTCATATTTAAGGGGTTGGCAAGTGGCGTGGTGATTAAGTGCGCTGGACTCCCACATGGCTGACCATGGTTCAAGTCCCGGACCTGGAAGCTTGTTTTCTCACTTTCCCTCTCTCTCTCTGTCCCTCTTTGGTCAAATTAAAATAAAATAAATGAATAAATAAAGTTAAATTTTTTAAAACTTAAAAAAAAGTCATTATTTGAGAGGTTCGTTGAGGAAATAATGCATTACTAAGTGGTAAATGATTTATTTCTGTGTTTTAATTAATCAGAGGCATTCAGCTGCCAGAGCTTCCAATCAGCATAAGGTAAGATAATTTTAGCCCAAAGCAAGGAAACATAACATTTTAATCGACTGTGCAGTTTTTGCTGGATGAACACATTGGGGGCCCTCCCCCAACTTCCCACCCTGAGGACTCGGAGACTCCTAAGGAGGAAGGCCTACCCTGAGAACCTTCTAGCAGCAGCAGTAATTTGTAAGTTGGATCCGAAGATGACATAAAAGAGGTTCCAAGACAGCATCCTGGGGCAAGAAACCAACTGGCAACGGTGGGAGGCAAGAGGGGAACTGACAGGCTTACCATAGGACTTAGGTAGTAGCTTCAGGAACAGAATTAAAATGTGTGAGGAGGCCAACAGGTGGTATAGTGGTTAAGGCGCTGGATCCTACATGGCTGACTGCAATTTGAGCCCCTGACTCAGCAGCTTGAAAAACACATTGGGTTGTGCCTGTGCACCCAAAATCCCAAGAGGAGAAAGGACTGATGCTTCGCCCTCGAGGTTGGTGTAAGTACAGTCTATGAGGGTTGCACAACAACGACATTGCTTGGTGACTCACTTCTCAGAACGTATCCCCCATCGGGGCCGGCAGGTGGTGTGGTGGTTAGGGGCGCTGGATTCCCACTGGACCTGGTGGCTTGCTTTCTCAATTTCCCTTTCTCTCTCCCTCTGGCTCTCTCTGGTCAAATTAAACAATAATGATAACAAATGGAATTAAATAAATGAATAAATCATTCTTTTTTTAAAAAAAGAATGCATCACCATTGTCCAGTGACACACGACTGTGTATGAACTACCTGTCTTTTTTTAAAAAAAGAATGCATAACCATTGTCCAGTGACACACGACTGTGTATGAACTACCTGTTATGTGGCAGTCACCTTATTCCACCTAATGCTGTTCCTCAAAACCTAATAGTAAAGTGGGTACCATCCCTTCATTTACAATGAGAAACTGAGGCTGAGCAATCTGAAATAACTAACCCAACCGTGTCTCTAACAGGTCAAGAGTCAAACTCCTTGACTCCAGCCCGGTCTCCAACCTCCAAAGGAGGGCGTCTTCTGGACATGAGGAATTAGCTTAGAGCACTGATTCCAAACTTTAGGTGCTTGTTGAAATCTTTAGCAGAGTTTTAAAAAGTACTGATGCCTGTGTTCTACTCCCAGAGATTTTTATTTAATAGGGCATCAAGATCTTTTTTTTTGGGGGGGAGGGAGGATTTCTCTATAGGGCGTGTGTGCTCGCCAGACAGACAGAGAGAGACAGAAAGCGAGAAATCACCCCCCAGGGGGGATGGCCATACCACAATCCCATCTCCTCCCAGGATTTTGGGCACACACACAAATGTGTCCGGCATGAGTTTTAAGCCACTGGGTCTGGGACTCAAACCCCAGTCAAATATGTGGGAGTCCAGCAACATAGCTATTACGCTAACTACTGGTTCCCAAGATCTTTTTTTTAAAGACAGATTCTTGGGACCAGCAGATGGCAAAATAGTTATGTTGCTGGATTCCCACATATGTGACCGGGGTTTGAGTCCCAGACCCAGTGGCTTAAAACTCATGCCGGACACATTTGTGTGTGTGCCCAAAATCCTGGGAGGAGATGGGATTGTGGTATGGCCATCCCCCCTGGGGGGTGATTTCTCACTTTCTGTGTCTCTGTCTCTATCTTTCTGGTGAGTGCACATACTCTACAGCAAAAATCTCTCTTAAAAAAAAAAAAAAGAATTGGGGCCAGCAAGTGGCATGGTGGTTAAGGGCACCGGACTCTCACATGGTCAAGTGCGTTTTGAATCCTGAATCTGGCAGCTTGCTTTCTTACTTTCTCTCTCTCTTCCCCTCTCTCTCGCTCTATCCTTCTTTGGTCAAGTTTAAATAAATAAACAAATAGGGACTAGGAGTTAGCGTAATGGCTATGTCGCTGGACTCCCATGTAGTTGACTGTGGTTTGAGTCCCGGACCTCAGGCTGGGAGCGTGTGCATGCGTGCCCAAGATCCGGAGAGGAGAATGGAGGAGAAGGGATTGCGGCGTGGCCATCCCCCCTGGGGGGTGATTTCTTGCTTTCTGTCTCTCTGCCTCTCTCCGTTTTTCTGGCGAGCACACGCGCCCTATAGCAAAAACCTCTCCAATAAATAAATAAATAAATAGAGTCAAATAAAATAAATCCTTAAAATGAAAAGAGAGAGATTCTTATAACGTTGCCCAGGCTGGCTTTGAACTCATGACCCTCCTGCCTTAGCCTCCCAACTAAATGGAGTTACAAGTGTGCATCACTACACCCAGCTTGGCGTCAGAGTTTTTAAAGCTCCCAAGTTTATTTTATTTATTCCAAGAGAAAGAAACCGCGGTACAGGACCCCCACAGGGTCTTGACTCCATGATCCACCCCAGTTTCGTCGACCCACCTGGCATGGGCACATGAGCTCTCAGGGAGGCCTCCGGATGCAAACTGGCCACCCTCCCATGTGGGGCTGCCCCACGGAGCGCCACGTTGCCCCGCTGCACCCTGCCAGCCCCGCTGGGTGAGTGTAACATGCCACCGAGGTTGAGTGTCACCGGCTTAGTGGGTTCCCCAGCCCAGTCCACCAAGGCCCTCGGCTGTAAATGTCACCTGACCTGACCATCCCCAGGATTGGGAAAAAGGCCAAAGAAGCCCAGGGAAGGAGGCTGACCTCAACGCCATGGTCTTGGGCTCACCATATCACGGTACTAACACAGTGATGACAGTGACGACGAGGTTAGAACAGGAATTCTGCCGCTTTCTGTGAAGGAGCAGGTGCTTTACATACTTCTCTCATTTGTCCTCATGGCAGTACTACGAGATGGTGAATCTTGCCGTTTTATAGATGACGATGCTGGCAGGTTAAGGGGCTGGGCCGCCTAGCTCTGGACCCTGGCTTCTCCAAGTGTCCTGTCCAATCCTGGGCCACCTCTGAACTCTCCCCCTGCTCACAGCTTCCTGGGGCCTGACTTCCGGGTGCTGCTCTGTGCTGGGAGGTGGGGTGGGCACTGAATGTGGGTGAGACGGTCCTGTTCTGCCTACCCCCCCGCTCTGCCCCGCCTCGAGTCTCACAGTCTGGTAGGGGAGTTAGGCAGACAGGATGGGCGGTGGTGGTGTGGAGGCTCACCGTCAGCCCCCGTCGATGGAGGGGTCCTAACCCCTGGTCTGCAAGCTCCCAAGGCCCCCACAGCCCTCAGCTGGGCTGGATCCTTGAGCCCTGTACGATTCTGGAGAGAGACCCTTATCATGGCTAGAACATGCCTGGGTTCAAGGCCAGACACCTCAAGTCTGCGGGCCTCGCTTCTTCATCCGTGCCACGCCCTCCTTGCAGTTTTCTGGGAAGATGGAGCCCGTCCAGACACAGCTGGTGCCTGGAGCTGGCCTGGCAGAGGGTGCACCAACCCCTACATCACCCTCACCCTGCACTTCACCACCAGCGTCCGCCTGGTTGCCCAGCACATCCCACCAGCTGCCGAGGGGCCTGGACACTATTTGTATTTCCCTGGCAACCAGCAGGGCCTGGCACAGGGCTCCCAGGCTGAGCCGTTCACAGCTGGCAGCCAGTGGGATGAGTCACTCCTCCCGGAAGGAGCCTGTGTCTACAGAGACTTCATCAGGTCAACGCTTGTTCCTGAGTACCCAGGACGTCAGCGGCTCCCAACCTGTCTGCACGCCAGAGCCAGGGCGGGTGGGAGAGAGGAGGGGAAGGAAGCAGCATCCAGGACGCACCCGGACCCATGAATCAGGGTCTGTGGGCTGAGGCCAGCCATCAGCCTTCCTTAGTCTTCTCAGTAGTGTCAGCTGAGGGTCTTTTGGGTGAGAGGAGCAGAATTTGCTCAGCACGCAGATTCCAGATGAGCAAGCCTGGGGACGGGCCCTAGACCTGCACGCTTACCCCCTGCCCTGCACGATTTCTCCCTCTCTCACAGTAAGGGTTAGGAATCCCTGCTCTGCAGAGGAAACCAGTGTGAGGACGAGAGAGGCAAGAGGCGCAGCTGCCCGAGGCCTTTTCATTCAGTGGGTGATGGCCCGAGAGGGTGGCGGTCACAGCCAGGAGGGATGACAGGACCTAGCTGAGGAGAGGGCCAGGGAAAGGGCGTGGGGCTGAGGGGCTACATTCCTCCCATTCCTTAAGGGTGAATTTAGGAGGAAGGGGGCCAGCAGGTGGCGTGGTGGTCAAGGTGCTGGGCTCCCACATGGCCCACTACAGTTTGAGTTCCAGACCTGGAAGCTTGCTTTCTTACTTTCTCTCTCTGTCTCTCTCTGGTGAGCCCTATAGCAAATTAAATAAAATAATAAACAAGGGAGGTGGTGGTAGAGAGGGCAGCCACACCACGGTGAGATTTAATTATCTGTAGATTTTACCTGGAGTCTCCAGGATGGGTGTGTCTGTCTCCCAGGCTGCCGTAACAAGACACCACGGATCTGGCCTGGACTTAGGCTGCTTTCCCATGGTCTGGAGGTCATGGTTGGAGGTCAGGATGCCGGCAAGGTAGGCATCACTAAAGGCCTCTTCTGGCTCATGGGTAGCTGGCCATCTGCTGTACTCGTGGGGCCTCTTCTCTGAGGGCTGGAGGGGCAGGAGACCAGGACAGTGAGAGCACACGTACTGGCTCTCTGGTGTCTCCCATGAGTCCTGTCGTAACCTCGCTCAGCCCTGATCGCCTCCATAAAGGCACTGCCTTCAAATGCAGTCACTCAGGGTCTAGGGCTTCAACCCAGATCTTGGGGAGGACACGCTCCAGCCCGCAGCAGTGGGCTTCTCGAACTGTTTTTGTAGGACCGTGCTGAAAGGGGACTGTGCAGACTCACGCCATCCTCCAGGGAAATTGCGCCAAGGTGGAAGAGGGTGCAGGACAGCCTTACATCCCCCAAGTGCTCCTAGGGCTCTGCTCCTGGTCCAGGGATTTGCCCCGGGGGAGATGGGTGAAGCCCTGCCTCTCCCCAGGTCTCTGGAGGCCCAGGAGTGGAAGTGAAGGAGTCAGGGTCCGGATGGTCCATGGGGCTGGCCCAGGGGGTCCC